ATAGATGCTGAAGTTCAGCCTCTTCTGAAAATACCTGGAATCATTAGGGAGAGCCGTGTAACAACAGAAAACAAAGATTTCCCACAGAAAAGCCCAGCGAAGCAGTGAAACTGAGACAAAACCTGGAGCTGCCAAGTCACCCTAGGCAACCTTTTCAAACCATCTCCAAAACTTTCTTCCCTTGCCAATCATAATGGGTGTGGATACTTAAAAAGGGACTGAAATATTACATTGGAATTTACCATTTGATCTTTTTGAACTTGGATATAATAAATGAATCATTGCTTCAGTTCTAATTATTTCTTAATTGCTGGGCTTTATGACCCTCGAAGTCCAGTTCTTTTCTTACTCGGCATTTTGCTGACAGTTAATACTTGCAAACGTTTTAGAATGCATTGGTATCATATCGCATATGACCTACGTGTTATGTAATTGCATTCTTGTGGGGAGCAGGGAAACAGTAATTTATAGCCTAATCAATAGGATATTAAAAATTTGAGAACAGGTTAGCAATTTGCTGGATTAGATAGCTATGAATTGCCATGTGACACACAAATTCTGAGCAGCTCACTCTCATGTGCACTGTAATTCTACAAATAGGCTGAAGACAAGTAACATTCCTGCACCATGCTCGGAATTCCTTGTTGCATCATTTTCCTCTAGATGGAAGGATCTCATTCACTAGATCCTACCACAGACTATGCTCTTAGAATGGCAGAAAAGAATTTGGGGGAAAAATAAGAAGAAAAGAAAAAAAACCCAGCAAGCTCTTGATTTATTAATTAGGACTCCAGGGAAATGGTGGCACATCAGGACTACGGGAGGGGTTTGAGTGAGTGTGTGCTACCCAGGCGAGGAAGCTTGCTTCTTACTGCAAGCTTCCTCCGTGTTTGCTAAATTGCTTTTCAGAGAGCCTGGGCTGCTGCAGAGCCAACTGCATGGATGTGCGACTGCTCCACCTGACCGAGATGGCAATGCGGGTGTTGGCAAACAGTCGCAATGGATGCAGTGTGATGACGGGCTCTCCAGGTGCTGTTGTAAGGCTGTAATATAAAATTTTTCTTACTGCAGTCTCTCATAATGAAAATACTTTGTATGGGTGGAAGGATTCTTTAATTAACTAAATAGCTCTGGCTTTAGACATACAACCACTGCTGCTCCTGCCTTTTTTTGAGTCCCAAATATCTTCCTTTAAAGCAAGTAAATACTCCTCTGTGGCTTGGCTCTGGTTGCCGTCCTAACATCACCTCTTCCGAATATGCACTCCTGCAGGTTTTTTTATAGACTGCATTTAAATACAGGCCTTCTGGAGCAGCCAGTGCTGTAATATTCCAGTTCTGTTTTGCTGGGTGGGCAGAAGAACTGCAACTTTGCCTCTGACTTTTCTCCACTGTTGGCAGCATGGTTGGCTGCCTATAACTCAGGGAATATTGCAATGTACAGTGTCAGTTTAGTTACTGACTTTTGCACGCGTGCTGCCAGTGCAGTGCTGTATCATCAGATGCCCAAGTCACCTCTCTGGCTAGTGGGGGCAATGTCAGAGTTAGCAACGCACCTGACTAAATTAAAACAGTTAATGCTTGGCTTCATCATTGAAGCGGCTTTAAAAGTTATTTAAATAACTTTAGAGAAGCTGGGTAGGGAGCTCCTGGGATGATGATTTATTAAAAAAATAAAGTTATGTGATTGAAAAGTGCAAGGGTCAATTGGATGCTTCTGTCCAGATGGCAGCAGAGTGAGCTGTACACACCCAACAGAGTGAGCTGTGCAATGCTAGTAACCTCTATCCTAGCACTAACTACAAATAACCTCTGTTTAACAAGTAAAAATGACTATTGTCTTATCTTCTTTTGAGTCATCCTGCACTGAAAAGGCACAGGAGGGACCTAGGGAAACCGCACCCTGTCTTGTGTGTTGCACCGAAACTGTGTTAGTGGAAGTGTAAGGCTCTTCTGATACCTACAGGCCTGGTGCTTTCGTGCTTCTCTCTGCTAAGACTGCTGTATAAAAGTCTCATGGGGGAAAAAATGAACGTTTTAATTATTTTCCTTCATTTTGTGGTATTAGTTGTGATTTTCAGGGAAAAGTAGACTTACACTGTCTCTGCTTATGTCCATTAAAGGAGATGCAATAGCAAGAGAGGAATCCTTTCTGGTGTCTAGAGGTGACAGCAATGGCAAGTAGCCTGTAGATGCTTGCCCGGAGAACGTTCAGGCCCCCCATGACACTAAGACTGCAGAACACCAGAGCCAAAATGTCCCCTTCGGAGAAGGAAAGTCTGCCTCCGTTGCTCCCACCTGCTGCCTTCCAGCTGTGGTTTTTTTATTTCTCTACCGTGAGGGACGTTTAAAGCCAGGACGGCTGAACTGGGCCCACACATCCACTCCCCCGCCTGGGGTGGCTCAGACCCCCACACACCAACATCCGTAGGAGCTGTGCTTCCCCGGTGGCGACTGATGCTGGGCCTCCTTGTCCCGCTCCTCTTCTCCCTGTCCTCCGCTGCCTGCAGCAGGGACTGTAACCTGGGCACGGAGACACGGCCCAGCTCTCCTCCCTGCATGCCCCCCCGCTGCAGAAAACCCACGTTCCCGCTCTCCTCCCCACCAGTGGGGTTTCATTCAGCGTGCTGCGTTGTGCCCAAGGGAAGCGCTGAAGAAACCAAGCCCTAGGCCTTGCCGAGGGAGGCACTGCCAGGGCTCCGGTCAAACGCAGGTTTCAAAAGCAGAGGCTGACTTTAGGGAGGCCGTCAGGAGGCAGCGGGGGTCGAGCAGGAGCGCCTCAATCGGAACTGATGCTCTGAGCACCAGCGCGGTACCCGAGGGCCGCCGTTACCGCCTGCAGGCCTCCAGTGCACGCTACCGCCGGCGGGAGCGCGCA